CAGAGAGCAGATCCTACTCTCTTCTTATGGATCAGAGACCATTGTTCCAGGAAGCACCATGGTCTGAATTAGCCAATCACCATTGGCCAGGTACATATTCTGTTAGAGGCAGTTTTTAACCTATTGTCTATTTTTCTGCCACTTATTATGACCCTTGTGCTGCTTCTTTACTATGCACTTAATCTGGTAGGGCAAGAGGCCTGCTCATTCTGTCCTTGAGTGAATCAGTGAAAAGGCATCACTCCTGTTTTGCTGACTTGAAAGGCATTTGTTGTTTAGTCTTATATAGTGGGGAAGAAGAGGGACTGTTCCCCACAAATGGGTTCCCAAATATCTTTAGAGTCAACACAGGAGCCTTTTTTCCAACTAATATTTTTATTATAGGACTCTGTATAAGCTTTGATTCCAAACATAAACTAGGTCAGAACAATGAGTATGCCTACATGATCTCTTCTACATGACTGCATCTTTAACAAAGATTTTAACAGTAGGTTTTTAAAGATAGACCTAAATTTACTTGGTTCCAGCTTCAAATTCCTTAGATATAATACCAACCCAGTTAACAGTGAACACATAGATGGGCAGGTAAGTCCAAGCACAGCTTTATCATAGTGCAGCTTCTTGGCTTCAGGATGGCTAAAAGTGTGGACAGAGTTGTCCCACACCTATCTTCAGAAAAACCTCAACAGAGCTACATGTAATCCAAGAGTGAAGTTCCTTGTAATACTTCACTCCAGAGAGGTGCTTCAGGGGACACTGAAGAAGGTAAATGTACTCATAATCAGAGTTAGCTGCCTCTAGATAGGATGTAGATTCTGGTATTTAAGGTAGGAAGTTCTGCTGTCAGTCCAACAACTTAATAGAAGATTTTCTTCCCTTTCCCTTCCCCTTTCCCTTCCCCTTTCGTAGTTACTGTGTGTTTGTACCTCTTTGTTTAGTCCTTTAGCCAATGTAAAATCAGATGCTTCCCAGTTGTCCTCTTTAATCTCCCATCTCTTTTGGAGTTGTGTTTTGAACATGCATGGTAGTTGCAATCCTAAAATGAATTAAGTGACATAGGGGTATTGTAAAGACAAGTATGCAGTGGTCAAATGCCAAGGACAGGCAAGAAGCATGGAATCAGAATGTCTGTTTGAGGATAATGAGTAGATATCCAGCTGCATCTGCTCTTCAGATGGAAAACAGTTGAATACCAGTCAGTGGCTGGAAGCTGAGACAGATGGCAGTGCAGGATTGGTTGGAAGCAGAGGCACAATTCAGATATTAGTCAGTAATGATGCATTTTATATCTTATTCTACAGTATATGAGTAATCTGCTTAATATATATCCTTGGAAGGAGTGGCTGCTGCCATTCTGGCTACTGGAGTTGGGGGGGGGCAGGGAATTAAAATACTAAAATTAAAATAATTGATTACTGCTCAGAACTTTAGCTCTAAATTCATATATGCAAACAAACCAAAATAAAGTGTATCATCCTTTCCTTCAACACCTGTGAACCAGATCAGTGTTTTCTGCTTTAATTTCTACAGTTATATTTCTATCAGTTTAACAAATCAGAAAATACTGCATAATTCTCCCTAATGAGCATCTATAGAAATGTGAAAATAACTAGCCTTTGCTCAGGAAGGAAAACGTGAGCAATTAGAAAGAATCAGAAGAGGTCAGAAAAGTGGTAGGTAGTCGTAGAACAGTGAAAAGGAAAAGGAGTAGGAGGAGAAAAGTGTTAGCAACACTACAAAGCTTCTATCAGTTAGAGGGGGAAAGAGAGCCTGTAACAACTTGAGTAACTAGATACTGGATCAAGTGACAGACTCAATCTAGACTTAAATGTAGACAAAGGGAAAGCAAAGTTAAGTTGCAAAATAGGACTCAATGAAAAAAAATCTTTAAATATTCATGTAAAATTTAGAGTACAGTAATTTTTATCATTCTCAAGTCTCCATCTTGTTTTCCCTGAATATCTCAGGTTAATTTTATTATGAAGAAGAACCTTTGGAAAGGAAGTTTTTTAACCACACAGGTTTCAAATTCATAGAAAATGCTTTTAAATGCATTTCACCCATGTGTTCCTCAGAAACTCAGCTATAATTAACAGCTACAAATTAGACACTTGTCTGTACTTTGTTCTGTACAACCAGGATATAAATAAAGGAAGGGTATTGTGCAAAGTATGACTCTGTACTGATTAGAGCAGCTGGAACTTGAGGTGCCTTCTCACTTCTGAGGGCATTTAGTTTGACGGTCATCTGATAAGCTTTGCTTCTGACAGGATTCATAACCTGCCTCTCCAATATGTTTTTAGCTATAGAACTTCTACATCATCTGTTTCTCCTCTTCCACCACACATGTGGAAAGGATGCTAAGAATCTGATGTCCCTGAGTACCTTAAGCTTTCCCCAGGAAGGTACAGGAAAAAGAGCAACACAAGTGTCCCTTCACTGCTGCTTTCCAGGAGCAGCCTGCAGCCAGCATCAGCTGGTGAGAACTCACATAGTCTTTACTGTAGTGGTTCCTCACCTTGAATATTAAATTAAGGATACATAAAAAAAGGTTTGTGTTTAATTATTAAACAAGTAAATAAATTGTTCATAAATTTCTTACAGGAAATTCTTCAGTCTTCTCCTTCATCATTAGTTTTACCAGCTGTTGACTGCACGGCTACCAAGTATCTTCTGAGATCACTTCAGGAATCAGGAGATTGGAAGTTAACAAATATAACTAATCTCGATGTGTCTCAGCTGCAAGTGAATACAACTAAACCAAACCTACTGGTGGTTCATCTGCAACCACTTGTCAGGTAGGAGCTTGTCACAAACAAAAGTGACCCACATGTGTGCACAATTTTTAAAGCTTTTGAAAATGTCACTGTATGCAGGGAATTTAAAACCTGAACTGGAAGCTTACAGAGTTAGCAAAATTATTTTTCTTGTAAGGGTGAAGTAGGTGTTTTTAAAGTCCCCTGATGAGCTTACCAGATATAATAGGTGAATTATATTGAGCAAGTAAGTCAGGCATTCCTATTTTGTCTGCCTCTTTGTATGAGAACAAAGGGACAACTAATAAAACTAAATGGCAACACACTGGTAGCAGAAAGGCTGAATTATTTTATGCAACACATGATTAACTCACATAATTAA